AGAGATAAGAGACCTGATGGAGACCTCTAATTTAATTTCTGTCTCTGTGTAATGTGTGGCTTTGGTTGTTTGTACCCATTTATATCTGCTTATGTAAGAAGCCTTTCTGACAATGTCTGGACAAGGAACAGATGTATGAGTGTAGCAGAATATCATTAGAAATAAAATCATTTCCCAACAAATCATGTGTAATTATTCTCTGAGATTCTGGGTTATCCAGTATCTAGTTAGTGTAGAATGAAGCAGTGGCAGCCTTGACCTCCAACTCCTAGAGTTGTCCTCAAGTTACATCTGACATTGGTTGGCAAATTATACAATTTCTGCTTGACCATTGCCTTATCAATCTTGCATTAAGAACCTATTGTAGGTCAAATTTTGTGGCTAGAATGGTGTCCAGGTTTCTCATTTTTAAATCAGAGAACCTTTCTATACCAAAGACTAGAATGCAGATGTGAAGCTCCCAGCAGCCTCTAGCATGTCCTCCATGTTTAATGAGTGTGATGTTGTTGTCCTCAGCAATTTAGCCATGCTCTAAGTTTGCAGAGTGCAATATACTGTGCTAGCTTCCTCCTGGGATGTTGGTGGCTCTCCACAGAACATCAATTGCCTTCTGTTTGCCTCTGTTTGGTTGACTCTGTATATGAAAATAACAAATGGATAGAGTACAATCTCTGGCAGAGCTGCTTTTTCCTTTCACTTACCTCCAACCCATAATATTATAACAGAAATAGGGAAATAGGAAGGAGAAAGACAGGAAACAAGAAATATACCTTAGTTTTGCCTCAATTGAAAACAGGCAAAATAAGCCAGTGTTGAATGGAAGCTGAGCATGTCTCTCTATCAAGACCTTCTAAAAAATCCTGCATTTCTTTCAGCGATCTCTCAATTGAGACATTTGACTTCTGTGTGCACAAATGGACTAGAATAAGAGGTAAACAGAGGTTTATCACATACATTATATCCTACATTTTGAGCAAATCCTCAAACATGTACATTCTACTATTCAAAATGTCTAATTTACAATTAATTTTGATAAGAGGTACAGTATTTTGATGCATTAGTCTCACATTACTACAAAAAATGAGTTCATTTAATATACTGTGTGTGCCTGGATTTGTAACTATGTGCTAAGACTTGGTTATCCTATTAGGGGATTTGTTGCTGAAGAAATATGCACTTCCATCCTCCATCAGCCTATCAATTGTCAGTGTCTGTAAAGATAAACATATGATTCATGGGTCTTTTTAACTTCAATAATAGGATTATTCCTGGCATGATATGATAGAATAATTGTGTGTGCAACACCAGGTGTTGATAGCCTGTGTGTCCAACTGTACTGAAATGTCTATCATATATTTTTGATGGCATCATCTAATATCTCTGTCTCTACTAAAGAAGTATATCTCACTTGACATGTATTTGCTATGTAGAAACTTTCTCCTACATCTTGCAAGTTTGTATTTCTTCAATTACATATGTCCATGGAATATTAATATAAATACTGCTGTTAACAGTGATACAATTTTCAATAGACATGTCTTAATTTCATCAACTTTCTCTAGTATCTCATTTCCAAAATCTTAAACCTTTTAAATACGTTAGCATGTTGGTGTCACAAAGATACATATGCTATTCTTGGGAATCTATTTAAACTTAATTCATATATTAGAGAATTTGTGCTGAAACTGTAAATCTAGCCAAGGACACCTGGCTGTACACATCATGGACTTGGAATACAAGGTACTCTACCAATTTTCAATAACAGTATAATTACATGTATATATGCAAAGTATGATAGGGACCTACATTCTAGATATTCTTATGGAATATTGACCTATTGGAAGTAAACAGGTACTTTTTTATTACATTTAAGTGGCATTCCATGAGTTGGAACCTATACATCATACTGCTAAAATAGCCAATCACCTGAGTTTATGTAAGTTAAAGTTATATAGAAAACCTACTTCTATAACCATGCTATGGGATGAATAAAATAACATTATTCCTAATTAAAAAACTGTAAAAGTCATAAATCAGTTAATTACTCAAACCTCATCAGGGATGTTTCTTCATGCAGTAGTTGGGAAATAACTTGGAGATTCTCAACCAGTCTAAGGGTAGACTGTGAGCAATTGAAAAGCACTAAGTCATAAATGGAGTGCCTACACCAAATTTTGCCCTAATGTCTCATGTGTCTTTGTGGAAGAGGATGTAGATAGATTGTAAGAGCCACAAATAGTAGAAGTCGAAGGAAAGATGTTTATCATTCACAACAGCACTGACATGTGTAGGACCTCACAGAGAATATTGCAAAAGAAAAAAGTGTACACAGTGTTAAAACAGACAAAATTCCATCTATGGAATGTTAAGTAGACATAAGCTACAACCTCTACCAAGGGGTAATTTGTAAGTGATATGTGCTAGGAAAAAATAGATTTATTCAATATGAATACCACAGGTTATATAATACCTATTCGTCCACGTAATGCTCAGCCATGGTATTAATTTGCCAGCACCTTATTGGCTTTACTTTGGATGTTTTCATTTTGATGTTTTCTTGTTTTTTTTTTTTTCATTTCTTCCAGGATGTATCTAAAAGTAAAGAGAGACAGTGCAAAAAGAGTGAGAAAGATTTAAGAGTGTGTGAAGTGAGGTTGGTAGGAAGGTGAGGAGAATCTGGAAAACATGAGTGAGAAGAAAGAAACTAACCACAAATTATTGAAAAAAATAATATTTAAAATAATATTTAAAATTACCTAATTTTAAAATGCACACAAAGTAACACAAGCTAAACAATCCATTATGTAGGATCATTTAACACAAGGACCAAGCATTAAGTGACTTAAATATGAAGACTTGTAATAATTTCATAGTTTATGCCTGTACTACATTAATAATTTGATTGTATGCAAACCCCTCCTGTACTACCTTAAAACGACTGGCAAATATATTTGTGAAGAATTCAAGTTACACAAGCTTCCATAGATTTAGGCTTAATTGTGAATCTGGGGGGAGGGACTAGAGATACTTGTTGCTGACATTTTCTGATATTCCCCATCAGTTGCCCTTAGAGTAATGCTAAATGATTCAATTTTAGCTTTTCTCTGATATATTTACATAAATGCCTGAAATGAAATGCTTACATTGGAAGTGTAAATTTTCACTGCAAGCCTTTTAGTGCTAGAAATCAAACAATACCTGCCTTTGTTGATTCCCAGAGGCTCTGTCTCCTGTTGATGTCAGGAGCAGTCTGCCCTGTTTTGATCATTGTCAGTCAGCCTCTGACTATACCCAGGATTTACTGAGTCCTGGATTATAGCCAGAGCGGGACTGGTAAGTACCTGCACTGGTGATGCTTTTATTAGCACTCCTTGCCCCTGTTTGAAGGACTGTTTGAATTCAAATTGAGCAAGGCATAACCGTCAATATGGTGAGTGTTCTCATTTCATGCAATGGAGGCAAATCCTGTAGTTGCCATGGAGATCTCCATGAGAGCTGCTGACTCATTTCTCTTTCCCTACTGAATGTGTATTTCAGCAGAAGCATCCAACCTGAAAATAGATGACAGGAAAAAAAAAATATAAGTCCATTGGCTCTGACTTCAGTTTGAAAGGAATAAAGCAACCTGTACAAAGAAGGTTGTTACCATATGTCCAGCGGCTTGTAACCACATCCACCCTAGCTACATAAAAGGCCTTGTTTTTCCTTGGACTGAGTGATTGTGATTCTGGGCTGCCAATTCCTGCTTGCTGCTTGCTGCTTGCTGCTTGCTGCTAATATTTCCTGATTTATCATTTCAGCTTCCCAAGTATCATGTTAAATGCTTGACATTTAGCTATTCTCCAATTTATATACAGGAGCGACTTAACAAAATACTGAGATAGTATATGGAATTATTATTTTCAGCCCTACTCTGAAAGTACCAAAATTACATGCTGCATCAAACAGTGTCACAAAGAGTAAACAACAATTTGTACTATTCCTTTTAGAAAGAAATATTCATAATATAGGTATATTTTCAATAATTTTAATTTGTTTTTATGCCTTTATAGTTCATCAAATACATTTCTGCATGCATTAGACATTGTTTCGCATAACCAAATAATCATTGTAGTATATTAATACTTGAATACTTGAAGAAGCCTGATTCCCTAGTACATGTCACATACTAAAGCCTGAAATGGATTATCTGTATTGCAGATGACACAACACTTCAACACTGAGACAGGGACATGATATTTTAAAAGAGAAGCAGTAGCATCAGAAGCAGGATGCTATTTCCCTGCACAGGAGACAGGAGCAGGTTTGTGGGAGCTATAATGCTGGGAATCAAACAATCACTGCCTTTGCTGATTCTAATGGGTTCTGACTCCTGTAGGTATCAGGAGCAGTCTGCCTTGTTTGGGTCAGTGTCCAGTAGGGCTCGGGTTATACCCAGGATCTCCTGAGTCCTGGAGTAGAGCCCGAGCCCTACTGGTAAGAAGCCTCACTGTGGTCACTTATATTAGAGCTCCTTGCCTCTGATTGAAGGGCTGTCTACATTTAAATTAGGCATAGGCCCAATAAGAATAAAGATCTCAATGCCAGCACTGTGGGCAAATCCTGATGTTCTCTTGGAGATCTCCATCAGAACTGCTGATTCATTTCTCCCTCTTCCAGCTAAACGCATGCTGCCAGAGAAGCAGCAAAATTTAAAGCAGGCAGCATGAAAAAATATGATTTGTGCTGGACAAAACTCCAATTATCAAAATGAAAAATTAGAAACTGGTGGCAATTAGGGGGTGATTATATATTAGTTTGCTTGTGGCTACATCCCGATTATCTACATGAAAGCCCCAATAATGCATGGAGCTTCATGATTGAGAACCGGGGCTGCCCAGAGCTAATGGTTGCTGACATTTTCTGATAAGCTGTCAGATTTTCTAAGAGCATTGCTAAACGCTTAAATTCAATCTTTTGTCCAATATAAGTAAATTAGTGCTTTTAATGAAATGCTTGCAATGTACGTGGAAATTTTCAATGAAAGCTCTCCTCTGCGGGGAATCAAGCAATCTCTGCCTTTGCAGATTCTCCTGGGCTCAGATCCAGGAGCCATCTGCCTTGTCTGGGTCAGAGTACAGTCAGGCTTGGCCAGTACCCAGGATCTACTGAGTCCTGGAGTACAGCCGAGCCTGACTGGTGAGAAGCCTCACGGTGGACACTTTTATTACCACTCCTTGCCTCTGATTGAAGGATGGTGTACATTTAAATGGGGCATGGAGCCAATAAGAAGAGTGATTTCAATTCCAGCACTGGGGACAAATCCTGAGGTTCTCTTGGAGGATTGCATCAGAACTGCCGATTCTTTTCTCCCTCCCACTTAAACGTGTACTGCCAGAGAGGCAGTGTAATTAAAAGCACGACATGAAAGACACAATTTGCACTGGAAAAACTCCAATAATCCAAAGAAAATAGAGGAACTGGTGGCTGGTATGGGGCTGCTCATATATTAGGTTACTTGGTGCTTCATCCTGGCTATCTCCAAGAAAGCACCCGATTCTTCCTGGAACTGCATGATTGTGAATCTGAGCTGCCAAGTGCTGCAAATGGCTGACAATTTCTGATTTCCCCACTCAAATGAGTGTTCAACAAAAGCAGTAAAACTGAAAGTGGATGATAGGAATAAATGAAATATCCTCAGGGCTCTGACCCCAGCAATCAACAGGAAAAAGCAAAACAAAACAAAAAACACAAAAAACCCTCTCCTGTGGCAAATAGGGCCAGGTGTATGTATCTAACAATTTGTGCAATGTACCTGGCTATCTACATAGAGTCTTCTATTTCTGCCGGGAGCATGATGATTGTGATTCTGAGATTCCAATTGCAACTTGATGCTTAAATTTTCTAATATATAAATTCAAATTCCTAAAGTACAATCCTTAAATGGTTGAATTTTAGTTTTCTCCTATATATACAAGTAACTGCCTGTAACAATAATGGAATTGTTACTTTCAAACCCTGCTATGAATACCTCTACTTTGCATACCATATCTAACTTTGTAAATATTATATGTATACCATGAAAAATTTCACACATTTTGTATGATTTTATACGTGTTTTGTTCCCCACACATTTGAATACATTTGACATTCATTTTGTAGTCTCAGTGCCAATCACACTTTTGGAATATTCTGTTCAGTATTAATATGTGAATATTTAAATTTTGAGAATATTTGCTATATTCTCTTGCCTAGAATTTTTCTGAAAGATTTTTTTAAACAATCTATTCTCATTTTATAGAACAATCCCTGCTCTCACTCTCCCCTCTTCTCTTACTCTCCAGACCTTCCTGAAAAGTACCTCATCCATTCCTAAGAGAGAGAAAGGCTTCCAGTGGTGATTAAAGAATTCTGGCACAGCTTTTTGTGGCAGCACCAAGGGCCTCCCCCTATATCTCAGCATATCTATGTATCCTGCAAAGAGAATGGGCTCTATAAAGCCGGTTCAAGCAGTAGGGATAAATCATGGTCTCACTGCCAGTGGCATCACAGACTGCTCAATCCACACAACAGTCACACACATTCAGAGAATCCAGCTTGGTTCCATGCAGGTCCCCGAGCTGTCTGCTGGAATCAGTGAGCTCTGACTTGCTGAGGTCATCCTCCTCTTTGGGTATACACAAAATCGTCTTGAACCCTTTGCTCCATATTATCTTTCTTCCCTTCTTTGACTGGACTCTGGAAACTCTTTAAGGTGATTTCTTATCCAATCATTACTATTGAATCATTAGTTACTAAACTTACTCTCTTTTTTGTGACATCTTCTTTTCAGGTAAAGCATGGATAGGGAGGCAAATGATTAGCCTCAGGACTAGCATGCCAGAGGAAATCTGTCTCTTTTTAAAAAAATGATTAAATAATATTTAACAATCTGATAATGTTTTGGCTTCAAGATACTTCGACAGGATTACTAGTATGTTCCCTAGGTCTTAGAGGTAAAGCATTATGCATGCAAACTCAGCTGAAGGGAATTCAGGAGCATAAGCATGCTGAAATACCCAGAACATACTGGTTACAAGCACATGTATATAAGCAATTCCATTAATATACAGGTGCTCACATGTTTGGAATTTGCCAATCACAGTATGCAACCTAGGCAATAAATCTCAGAGTTTTTACTGTAACTATCTTGGCTTCATGTCCTGGGATTGGATGGCAATGCTTTATGACTGATTTCTTGTATGCAATTTTTAATGATAAGTGTAATTTGTTAATATTTCCAAGTACTCAGTGTGCTGATATGACCATTTCAGTCTCTGTGTAAAGTAAAAAAGATAATAAAAAGTAACCTGTGTCGTGTCAAACAGAGTCCCCAAAATCTATTCCATTAGTTTCCTATCGCTAATGCTGTCTTTTGTTTCCCCCACTTGCAACTATTGTTGTCTACCTCCTGAACTAACATTTTAGGATAAATCAATTATATCTGCTGCACATAGCTAATCCCCATATAAATGAAATAAGAGCAATGTTTAAGATTCCCCATATCTAAATTTGTGCATCCTGAAACATTATGTTACCTCATCCTTCTTTTTGAAAATAAGGTCCTTTAAAAATTTCTTACACTATTAAGTTCTTAGAGACTATCCCATAAGCTACTAATATAGCTATTAATTCTACATATAACTCTTATGCTGTGTTAAAGTAAAAAGTTCAGCTAAGAGAAATAAAATATTTTTTCTGTAAATTTTATTAATTTAACAATATTTCCACATCATAATTTGCCAATAAGTCTGCATTCATATGGAATTAGTGGCTTGGATCCTAAAGACATGTGAAATTTTAAATCTAGCTTTTTGGCCTAAAGCAGACATATCATATACAGGAAGACAAATCTTGCTTATGAACATAGAAGCAAACTATTTCTCTGCAAACTTCCAGAAGCCATAGGATTTCTAGATGTGTCATCATTATTTATCCATATACCTGCAGACATTATTAACTGTAACTTTCAGAAAAAGGCACCATTTTACACATTTCTACAACTGCTTAATTGGTAAGGACTTACAATGTTGTGTCCAAACACAACTGATAAACCAAACAAATTTCCACAGTACTTAGACACAGAAAATATTGCATGCAATGGACAGAAATATTTTTCGGTTCTAGGGAAAAGCATATGTATTGTTAAAGGGTTTCCAGAAAGAAGTATAGTGAGTTTCAAAGCACAGAATTTTTGATGACTTTTATATCCAAAACAGAAATGAAACAAAACCAACAAAATGACAAAATGTTTAGCACAATCACAGCAAATATTGTCATTCAAACACTCACTCAACTTTCCACACTTAGCTGAAAAACTACTGACAAATTATGAGTGCTAGGAAAAAAGAATCCATGTCTATTTTAAAGTAGCATTGATAGAACTTTCCATTCAAATTGTCAATACTAAATATGGTCATTCTTTGTCACAAGATTAAGAAGATAAAGTACACAATGTGAGTTGTGTAAGTATACTTTTGTACATGCAGAATAAAATAATTATAATAAGAAAAGGTAAAATTTTGACAGTTAGAAGAGCAGAATTGGACGGGCATTGGTGGTACATGCCTTTACTCCCAGCAATCTTTAGGCAGAGGCAGGTGGATCTCTGTGAGGCCAGCCTGGTCTCCAAAGCGAGTGCCAGGATAGGCTCCAAAGATACACAGAGAAACCCTGTCTCGAAAAAAACAAAAAGAACAGATTTGTAATGCAAGAAGAAACAGAAAGAAGTGTAAAGTAATACAAATAGCATTCTCTTGTATGAAATCACTTGTAGGTCAAGGATGCATGCACAAGTTTATATATATATATATATATATATATATATATATATATATATCTATGCACTGAGAATATAACTGGAGAGTTATTGTAACAACTGTACTTCTTATAACTTGAATAGGCATAAGAAATATCTGTCTTAGTTTCCAGTGTTATTTGATTTACTTGTTGGATATTGGCTTTCTTATATTCTCCCTTTAGTGTCTCAGAGAAAATATTCAAGCATTGTTATACTAAACAACACAATTATAAGAACATATCATTGTAGAACCTCCTTAATTGTGTTACCACATAATAAATACATATGGTAATCAGAAAGAAACTTCTCTCCAACTACCTATATAGGATGAGAGCTTGATAGGGGTGTCCTCGTGTGTTTATGTTTCTCTTATAGGTCAACAAATAAAACACTGATTGGCAAGCAGCCAGGTAGAAGCATATGCAAGGATAAGAGAACAAGAGAAGGCTGGAGAGGGGGGAAGACAAACAGAGACCTCCAAAAGATGCCATGCTGCCAAAGGAGTTAACATGCCAGATAAAGGGTAAGCCACAGCCTGTGTTAATGCATAGATTAATAGAAATGGGTTAATAATTAAGGCAGAGCTAGCAAAAAAGAAGCCAGAGATAATGGCCACACATGTTATACTTAATATAAGTCTTTGTGTGTTTATTTGTGTGAAAGCAGCTGTGGCACCTGGCAGGACAGAAACCTGCATCATCAAATTACAGAATGAAATAAACTTCTTACCCTCTTTTGCTACATTGCCTAAATCAGAATATATAGGGAAGTCTTCAGGCATATTTTTGACAGAGTGGCTTAACTATCATGGGAGTATCAACTACTTTTAAAAATAATGATCAACTAAATAGAGAATTCTCAACAGAGGAATCTAAAATGGCTGAAAGACACAAAAGAAAGTGCTCTACATCCTTAGCCATCAGGGAAATACAAATCAAAACAATTCTGAGATATCATCTTACCCCAGTCAGAATGGCTAAAATCAAAAACACCAATGAAAACATATGCTGGAGAGGATGCAGGGAAAGGTGAACACTCCTCCACTACTGGTAGGACTGCAAATATGTACAGCCACTTTGGAACTTAGTATGCAGATTCCACAGGAAAATTGAAATCAGCCTACAAAAAGATTCAGCAATTCTGCTGTTAGGCATATAAGCAAGAGAAAGATATTTATACAACTGTTAAAATATGTTCTTATAGCATTATTTGTAGTAGCCAGAATCTGTAAGCAACCTAGATGCCACTCAACTGAAGAATGGATAGAAAAATGTGGTACATTTACACAATAGACTACTACTCAGCAGAAAAAAAAATGGGATCTTGAAATTCACAGGCAAATGGATGGAACTAGAAGATACCATTCTGAGCGAGGTAACCCAGTCACAAAAATACAAACATAATATGCACTCACTCATATATAGATTTTACACATAGAACAAAGGATTTACAGCCTATAACCCACACCACCAGCAATGCTAGACAACTAGGAGGACTCTAAAAGACACAGAAATGGTCCCCTGGAGAAAGGCACAAGATCCTCTGAGCAAATTGGGAATATGGGAGAAGAAAAAGGGAGCTAGGAGAATGAGAAGGGAAGAGGAGGAGGGGTGAAGAGGACATAAGAGAGCAGGAAGGTGGTGTAGGGGAAAGAATACGGGAGGGCATATAAGAGATACCATCAGAGAGGAAGCCAGTATAGGTTTCAAGTGAAATCAGGCACTAGGGACATGTTCAGACATCTACAGGGATGACACCAGCTAACCATTTAAGCAACAGAGGAGAGGCTACCTTAAATGCCCTCCATGACAATGAGACTGACAACCTACTTATATACTATATACCATTCTAGAGCCTTCATCCAGCAGCTTCATCCACAGCTAAAAACTGAACTGAGCAGGAATCCAGTAGGAGAGAAGGAGGAGTGATGAGCAAAGGGGTCAACACCAAGCTGGTGAAACCAACAGAAACAGCTGACCTGAACGTGAGGGACCTCTTGGCCTCCAGACTGATCACTGGGAAACCAGCATGGAAGAGACCCAAACCCCATGAATGTGGGTTCCAGTGAGGAGACCTCAGAAATCTATGGGGCCTCTTGTAGTAGATCAGAACTTATACCTAGCATAGGAATGGACTTTATGATCTCATTTCATATAGAGGAACACTCTCTCAGCCTAGACACAACTGGGAGGGCCTTGGCCGTATGCCAAAGGCTATGTCAAATTATGAAGACATCCCATGGGAAGTCCTCACTCTCCCTGGGGAGAAGAAATAGTATTGGATAGGTAGGGTTTTAGTCGGGGCAGGGGAGGACGGTAGGGAGAGGGAATGGGGATTGACATGTAAAACAATCTTGTTTCTAATTTATATAAAAATGAATAATGAAAAATATGATTAACACCAATGGATTGAAGAAATAACCCAAAATGTTAAAATACCCAAGAATCTGATATTACAAACCTCATAGATTTGTGCAAAACCTATTTCTTTCATTCAGCTACAGATAAACTGAGTCTAATGACATATTGATACATACATAGATGTGTCAACTTATCAATGTCTCATAGTGAGAAATGTTTCTTCAAGCACTGGGTGGGAAATAAAACAAAGAGGCTGAGGTGGGCTTTATATAGTGCAGGCTTTGAGGTACTAATTTGTGATGTTATTTGTCTTCATGAAGCCCCACCCTAAAGCCACAATGATCAAAATATAAAAGGAGACACCTACACACTGAACTGAACTCCTGAAACCCAGTTGCAGAGAGGGAGGTGTGATGAGCAAAAGGGACAATACCAGGCTGGTGAAAGTAAAAGTAATAGGTGACCTAAGGAAGAGTGGTCTCATGGACCCCAGAATGATGGCTCAGATGCTAGCAAGGTCCTGATCTAGACCCCTTGAACATGGGTGTTAGCACAAATGCCTCATCAATCTATCTGGCCTCGGGGAGTAGATCAGTATTCATCCCTAGCATATGAATGGAATTGGGGGGGGGGCATCCCATATTGAGGGATGCTCTCCCAACCTGGACACATGGGGGGAGGTGTAAGCCCTGTCCCAGACGGTATGGCAGACTTTCAGAATCCCACTTGGACAGCCTCACCCTAACTGGGCAGCTTGTTTTTAATTTAAATAAAAATAAATTTTAAAAAAGGAAAGGAGACAGAACTATTCTAAGAAATTCAGAGTTGGTGGATGAAATCATATTAACAATAATTCCCAGCCTCAAGTTTACTATCAAACAAAGGAATTCAGAGTCTAATATAGAAGGCACAAGATTTGCAGGGAATCTCAATGTACAAAACAACAAGAATCAAGAATAAAGTAATCTGGTGTGTTAATGAGTTTAAAGGAAATATGTAATACCACTCTATTACCATCAATAAATAAATGGATTTCCAACCAAGCACAAGAATAACTGATGCCATAGTCCTGAATTGGAGACAAGAAAGAAGTGTTTGTATATGCAAAAGTACAAAGGAAATAAAAACAAAGATTGAAAAGTTGAACCAGTTACCATAATGGAAACAAGAAGTAACAAGAAAATTTTCTATACTACATTTTTAGGTACAATCGGTGCTTCAGTGAAAGGTGGGGTAGCATCTGCAAAATCTGTCTATTTTCACAGACAATAGAGTTGCTAGGAAAACTCACGCTGGCATAACAAGTACCACAGTGGATCTTCCAGGGGACAGAAAGGAGCCCGACTCCCCTAGTGCATGTCTCACACTAAAGTCTAAACTGGATTATCTGCCTTGTAGATGATATAACACTTCAAAAGTGAGACAGGGACATGATATCTTAAAAGAGAAGCAAGAGCAACAGACAGGATGCTGTTCCCTGCAGAGGACACAGGATCAGTGAGTGGGAGCTGTAATGCTGGGAATCATAACCCCTTCCTTTGCTGATTCCCTGTGGAACTGACTATTATAGATGTCAGGAGCAGTCTGCCTTGTCTGGGTCAGAGTACAGGTGGCTCTGGACATACCTAGGATCTACTGAGTCAAGAGCATGGCCAGAGCCTGACTGCTTAGAAGCTACAGGGCTGTCACTTTTATAAGCACTCTTTGCCCCTGATCGAAGGACTGTATGCGTTCAAATGGAGCATCAAATAGGAACCAATGAGGAGAGTGAACTCATTTCCAGCACTGGAGGCAATTTCTGTGGTTACCATGGAGATCTGCATCAGAGCTGCTGATTCATTTCTCCTCCCACCTTAAACTGTGCTAAAGGAAATGCAGTGAAAGTAGATGAAAGAGGAAAAGTGCAATTTACCCTGGTTTCTGATGCCAATTGTCAAAAGAAAAGAAAGCAACCTGTGACATATATATATATATATATAAGAGTTGAACATATATATGCCTGCTTTAGCAAGCAAGCATCGTTGCTATCTACATGAAAGCTCTGTTTCTCCCTGGAGATGGCAAATTGTGTTTCTAGCCAGCCAATAGATTCTTATTGCTGGCATTTTTATTTTCTTGATATGCCATATGATATTGCCCAAATGTTATGTAAAATGCTTTGAATTATAGTTATCTCCATTATATGTACATGAGTGTGTGAACTAACATGCTTACATTGTAAGTGGAAACTGTCAGTGAAAGCTGCAGAAAGTGAGAGCCTGCAGGCGAGGCGGCAGAAGATTGCAGGAGGAAAGGCGCAGGAGACGCTAGTGGAGTCGAAGGAAGAAAGCCAAGGTGGCAGCAGCCATGATGACCCCCACCAGGCCTGGCTTGAAGGATGACGCAGCTGAGAGAGCACTCCAGGCTGTGGGCCCCAGGAAGGGCCTCTTCCTTGTGCGCATCTGTTTCCATGGAGATGAGAGTGCCTGTCAGCACTCTCATTTTATGCTAGGAAGCAAAAAAAAAAAAAAAAAAAAAAAAAAAAAAAAAAAAAAAAAAAATGTCTGCCTTTGCTGATTCCCTTGGGCTCAGACTCCTGTGGATGTCGGAAGCAGTCTGCCTTGTCTGTGTCAGCGTACAGTCGGACTTGGATTGTACCCAGGATCTACTGAGTCCTGGAGTATAGCCCAAGCCTGACTGGTAAGAAGCCTCACTGTGCACACTCTTATTAGCACTCTGCCTCTGAATGAAGGGCTATGTACATTTGAATTGGGCATGGAGCAAAAAAGAAGAGAGATCTCAATTCCAGCACTACGGGCTAATCCTGATGTTCTTTTGGAAATCGCCATCAGAAATGCTGATTCATTTCTCCCTCCCACCTAAACGTGTGCTGCCAGAGAAGCAGCAAAATTGAAAGTACGACAATTAAAAAAAACATAATTGCACTGCACAAAACTCCAATAATCAAAAGGAAACAAATAGGATATGGTGGAAGGTAGAGGGAACTAATATATCAGTTTCATTGGGCCTACATCCTGGCTATCAACAAGAAAGCCTCTGATACTGCCTGTAGTTTCATGATTGTGAATCTGGGTTTCATGACATCTTATTCAGAACTGCTGATTCATTTCTGCCTTCCATCTAAACATGTGCTGCCAGAGAAGGAGCGATATTGAAAGTGCGACATAAAAAAATATAATTTTCGATGGCCACCAGCGGAAGAGCAGAGAGGAGGAGGGACGGGGGCCAGGGGGCCGCTCCCGCTCCCCGCAGAGAAGGGCGACTTCTGCGAACTGCGCATGCGCGAGGCAGCAGACAGCAGAGCGAGTGGTGGGCTCAGCAGCCCCACACGTCTGGCAGCTCCAAACCTCAGCGACTTCCCACCCGCCGGCCGCAGGGACCCAAAGGGACGCCTTAGAGAGCCTGCAGGCAAGGCGGCGGAAGCTTGCAAGAGGAAAGGCGCAGGAGACGCTACTCGAGTCGAAGGAAGAAGACCAAGGTGGCAGCAGCCATGACGACCCCCTCCAGGCCTGGCATGAAGGATGACGCAGCTGAGAGAGCGCTCCAGGACCAGGCTCAGGCTGCAGGCCCCGGCAAGGGCCGCTTCCTCGTGCGCATCTGCTTCCAGGGAGAGGAGAGTAACTGCCCGACCCGGGATTTCGTGGTGGGCGCACTCATCCTGCGCTCCATCGGCATGCACCCTGACGACATCTATGCGGTCATCCAGATCCCAGGCAGCCGGGAGTTTGATGTGAGCTTCAGATCGGCAGACAAGCTGTCCCTGTTCCTCCGCGTGTACGAAGAAAAGCGAGAGATGGAGGACTGCTGGGAGAATTTTGTCGTGTTGGGGCAGGGCAAGGCCAGCCTGAAGACCCTCTTCATCCTCTTCCGCAACGAGACCGTGGACGTGGAGGACATCGTGACCTGGCTCAAGCGCCACTGCGACGTGCTGGCTGGGCCTGTGAAAGTGACTGACAGGTTTGGGATCTGGACTGGGGAGTACAAGTGCGAGATCGAGCTGCGCCAGGGGGAGGGCGGAGTGAGGCACCTGCCAGGGGCCTTCTTCTTAGGAACTGAGAGGGGCTACAGCTGGTACAAGGGGCAGCCCAAGACGTGCTTTAAGTGTGGTTCCCGAACCCACATGAGCAACACCTGCAGGCAGGACAGGTGTTTCAGGTGCGGGGAGGAGGGGCACCTGAGCCCTTACTGCCGGAAGGTCATCGTGTGCAACCTCTGTGGCAAGAGAGGGCATGCCTTTGCCCAGTGCCCCAAAGCGGTTCACAATTCCGTGGCTGCTCAGCTCACCGGCATGGCGGGCCACTGAATGCTCGCTCTCCTGTCTGCTGTGGTGGATGAACACACAGCCAGCTTACCCTTCATAAGTGCCATTTTTTTTTTCTTTTATCCTGTTGGAAGGAGATATTTCTAAAACCTAACAGACATTCTCTCGTGTTGCCTTTTTCGAAACCACGTGTGCTCCTTTTCGGCCTGTTTGAAATGGTGAAATTTACCAGGAAGGACTATTCAGAACTGTAGAGTGCAGATAGGTCGGTCGCCTGCCCCCCCCCCCTTTTTCCTACCATCGTGGATTTGTTTTGGTACTGTGATCGACACCCCTTCGTGCCCTTTGTACTTTTTACTACCTCCCTCCTCACGCATTGTCTCTGTAGAAGATTTTTGCCCTTTTGGGCTGCCTTGCTCATCTTTATGCCTCAGCTGCGGGTACAGGGCCCAAAGCGGCCTACGCACTCCACCAAGTGTTTATTGAATTGCAAACGTTGACTGGTATATGTCAAGAGTGCCTACCTTCTGCAGCTCTCCGCTGGACTCTTTTCATTTGCTGCTTCTATGTGATATGAGAATTTGTGAAAACAGTGTTGCTAGAAGTGTGTGATCTAAATATGCTCTGAATCATGGCCAAAGGCCTCCCTCTCCTAGCATAATAATGTATATACTTTGTAACAGCAACTTGGACTGACTCAAAAGCCCTTCTGTAGGAGCATGGAACCTAGGCAGTCCTGCTGGAAAAGACCTAAGAGGTGGTTTTTGTTGGATTTTCTGTGTGGGAGGTTGCTTTTGTTTTCTGTTTTGGTTTGAGACAGGGTCTGCTTATGTAACCCTGACTGGCTTGGAACTGGCTGCATGGGTAGACCAGTCTGGCTTCAAATTTACAGTGATTCTGTAAATCATGTCTGCCTCCCTGAAGGGTGTTTTAATCTAATCCCTTGGTTTTCCAGCAGATGAAACGAACCCGAAGAAGTTAAATGACTGGGTCAAAGTACACAGTTTTGTGGAGCTTCAGATGGTCCATAGTAGAGTCCCCTGCCCCCCAGCCCGGTGCTCATCCCACTACCTCTCACACTTCACAACAGCCTCATCAACACAGGTGGGCCAAGGAAGTCGGTCTGCTCCCTCCGTGGTGATGATCCCAGCATAAAGCTGAGAAACCATTCCGTGAAAGCAGTAAGAGGAAGCTTGTCTTGCCACTTGATAGTACTAGGGAGCTAGGGAAAGGACCAGTGAACACACTCTGTGCTTCATGCATCAGTCCTGGGGAGTACCACATCATAGCTGTCCCAGGGCCTTCCTCTCCCACTGCCATTGTAATCAGTGAGAAATGGTTCCCCGCAGTAAAGAACTTGCCAGACATTTACATTTGCACCTCTGCCTCAGCTACTAGGAACCCTAGAGAGAGCTCATCGAAACCTTCAAACTCTGATCCTTGGAGAAAGGTGATTTTAACCCAGAATCATGAGTGATCTGTAAACTCAAAAGTGTTCTTGGGGAAACAGGCAAAAACAGAGGGGCTGGGTCAACTGTTACCAAGTTAAAGTGAAAGACAGTAAACTGCTTTTCCTCAGTGTTTGTCTTCTCTTTGCTGTTTTGCTATTTCCTTGTGGCTTAGAATGTAAAACCAATTGTTAAGATTTGTTCTGAATAAATATTTATCTGTTGTATAAAAATAAGAAAAGTGTGGTTTTCCAATTATTAAAAGGGAAAAAATAGGAACTGGTGGCTGGTAGGGGGTACACATATATTAGGTTGCTTGGGGCTACATCCTGACTATTTACATGAAAGCCCCTGATTCTGCCTGGAGCTGCAAGATTGTGAATCTGAGCTGCCAAGAGCTATTAATTGATGACATTTTCTGATATGCTCTGTCTCATTCCCCTTAGAACAATGATAAATGCATCAACTTTAGCTATTCTCCAATATGTGTATATGAGTGCCTTAAATGAAATGCTTACCTTGTTAGTGGAAATTTTCAGCACAAGCCCTCCTGTAATGGGAATCAAACAACCCCTTCCTTTGCTAATTGCTACTGGCTCTGTCTCCTGTAGATGTCAGGAGCAGTCTGCCTTGTCTGTGTCAGTGTGCAGTCAGCCTCTGGCTAAACCCAGGAACTACTGAGTCCTGGAATATAGCCAGAGCCTTACTGGTAAGTACCTGCACTAAAGATGCTTTTATTAACATTCCTTGCCCCTGATTAAAAGCCTGTGTGCATTCAAATTGAACAAGGAACAAGAGCCAATAATGAGAGTATTCTCCTGTGAAGCAATGGAGGCAAATCCTCTAGTTGCCTTGGAGATCGCCATCAGAGCAGCTGACTCATTTCTGTCTACCACCTGAATGCGTACGGCTGCAAAATCACCTGAACTGAAAATGGATGACAGGAAAATAATATGATTTTCCTTGGCTCTGAGTCCAGTTTTCAAAGGAATAATCCACTCTGCAACGTAGGTTGTTGCTTTGCTGCTTGAACCTGTATCCAGACTAGTTACAAAAAGGCTCTTTTTTTTTTTTTTTGATTGAGTGATTGTGGCTATGCTGCCAATTGCTACTTGCTGCTAATATTTCGTGATTTATCATTTCAGTTTCCCAAGTACCATGCTAAAAGCTTGAAATTTAGCTTTTCCCCATTTTATATATACAGTGACTGAAAAAGATACTGAAATAATATACGGAATTATTATTTCCAGCCCTTGTCTCAAAGGAAAAAAATGCATGCTATATCCAACAGTGTTCTGAATATTAAGCAATAATTTGCACTATTCAATTTTGATAAAAACCAGTCATAATATATATTTTCAATAATTTTAATTTATTTATATGACTTTATTTACAGTCTATCTCAAATTTGTCTGCATGCATTTGACATTAGTTTCCTCACAGTGCCAAACTATACTTGTGATATATTACTACTTAAATAATATTTACTTTTCCCATTAAAGATATTATTTTTAGAATACCATTTTTCTCCTAGTTTGCACTTATCTTTATCTGTGTTGTTGAATCAAAATAAATGACATTAAACTCCAATAGTTTGGATATTCCAAAATATAATACTTGTAATAATGAACATAATTTAGTATACATGGTATTTTATGACTGAAGACGTTTTATGTTTTTATTTTTTATTAGAAACATAATACTTTTACATGTGTATACCCGTACCATCTCCCTCCCCTCATCCCCTGACCAGCACCCCCAATCCAACCCCTTTTCTGCTCCCAAGGGAGGGTGATGCCTTCCATGTGGGATCTGAAAAGTCTGTCATCATTGCAGCAGGGCCTAGATCCTCCCCTGTGTGATTAGGCTGCGAAAGTATCACCCCACGTGGAGAGGGCACCCAAAGTCCATTTCTATATTAGAGATAAATAATTATCCAATAACGGAGGCCTCATAGATTGCCCAGACCTCCTAAAGGACAGTCTCACTCAGCAGGTCTTTAACAGTCCTATGCTATTTTTCCAGCTATCATTCTGGGATTCATGAGCAACCCTTTGTTCAGGTCAGCTGTGCCTGTGGCTTTCTCCAGTCTGTTTCTGACCCCTTTGCTCATCATTTCTCCCTCTCTGCAACTGGATTCCAGAGTTCAGCTCAATGTTTAGTAGTGGGTGTCTACCTCTGCTTCCTTCAGATACTGGATGAAGAAACTAGTATGGCATAAAGTCATCATCAATCTCATTATCAGAGATAGGCATTTAAGGTAGCTGTTCAACCACTGCTTAATCAGTTATATGGGGTCAAACTCGTAGATCTCTGGATGTTTCCCTAGGTGATTATAATTATCAACAAAGTACTACCTTTCCTTCACTAGAATTCCTCTCCAATCAATACTCCATCCCTCAGTTTGTGCAGGAGATCTTACATTTCCCCTTCTGAGGGAAATCAATCCTACCCTCTTAGGATCCCCATTGCTACCCAGCTTCTCTGGGACTGTAGATTGCTTGAAAACTTTGCTTTATAACTAGTATCCCCTTAGAAGTGAGTGTGTATTTCTGGGTGCAGGTTTCCTCACTCAGGATGAATTTTTCAAGCTCCATTCATTTGAATAAAATTTCATAGAATATAGCAATTTTGAGAATATTCACTACCTTCACTTCATAGAGCTATCATACTGCCCCATCCCATGGGGCTCCAGTAATTCGTGAGTCCGAGGTGGATCACACCTGCAAATAATGGGCAAGAAAGAAAGAGCAGGACCAAGCAGATTCCATTGTCAAGGCCAATTTTATTGAAACCAAGGGGATTTTTAAAGAGAAAGGAGGAGCAGAGAAAAAGGAGGTGGGGGGAGGGATGGGTTAATTGTTCTCAGGCAGGTATCCTGAATCTCCTGTGTTTATCTCAAGCACTAACTAAGGAAAATGGGGGAGGGGATAGGTGTTAGTTGCTTCTCAGGCAGAATCTCCTGTGATAAGGGAGTGGTTTGCTAGACTTGCTGGCATCTGTCTAGGCATGGGGGGTCACCAAGTCTGGCTTCTGACATCATACAGGAGGAAATCTGTCCTTCTTTTTCATCACCTGATATATAATATAAACCACTGTGATAACCTAATGGCTTTCAGATTCAACCATGTGGTAATTAGACTTTTCCTTGTGGCGTTATATCATTTTTGATTTATTAAAGCTTCCCTAAAGACTCAAAAGACAAAGTAAACCCCAAGATATAGATATTGGTGATGCACACATTTAATTACAAGCCTCTGGAAATACATTGCATGATTTATAGTGAAATTATTATGAAAGCTAGCATACCTGATAGGAATTCAGGAGGTGTAATAGCAATGTCCTATTCACATACTGTTTGTTACAGGTACTTTGTAGGGGAAGCTGTAGCCACGCCTAATTAGAGGCTGGCTACAGGTGTGCCTGACCATGCTTGTGAGGGCATGGTCAGAGTGACATAGTGTAACTGCTTTTGCTCTTTCAGTTTCACTTTGCTGCTTGCTGTACAGGCTGCGGCCACACCGGCTGGCTAGGTCGCTCTGTAAGTAAGGCTTTTCCCTATTAAATACCCTTATATTTCTACCTGACTCCGTATTGGTAATTTCCCACTATAGTACTTAATTTGCCAATAATGGTAGGCAAGCCAACTTAGAAATCTTACTGTCAATATGTAAGCCTCATGTCCTAGGATTTGATGCTAATGCATATTTGTCTGATGTTTAATGTGTGAATTATAATTATAGGGGCCAGTTCTTCATATATACATGTAATTAGATTAATGATATTGCCATCTAAGTGGCAGTCTATAGTATAAAAACAAAAACAATGAGCAATATGGGGAACTTACTCAGAGACCCCACAGTTCTCCCTTTTATATAACCATCTATTCTACTACATTATTATCTGATGCTATCATCTTCATTTCTCTACTTTCAGCATTTTCTGAGCTTCCTGGATTAAAACCTGAGGATCAGTAAAGAGTGATGACTATACTTTTATTATCCCCACATATATGGAATAAGAGTGATGCCGAGGACTGTCCACATATAAATTCTCTACATCCTAATATATGTTCTGTTTTCATTTTGTTAGAAAATAAGGTCTTTTTAACAATTTCTTACACTATGAAAGACTTAAATATCATCCCCTAATCCATTAATAAACATTTTATCTACTCATATCAGTCCTGCTATGTTAATGTCAAAATTACAGCTAACAGGACAACAAAAACTCTCAATAAATTGAGGAAGTTACAAACTTATCCAATTTTTTTTTTTTTACCAACAGTTAATTCTCAGTAGTTTATTAGTAACTTGGTTCCAATAGATGTGTCTGAAGTTCATTCTAGCTTGCATGACTGAAACAGACATATATCATACATGTTCAATATTATAACCTAGTCTACTATACATGACTAGGGAGTCCATAGACCCAGAAGAAAAGCTTTCCTCAACATATTTGAAGCCATAATATTTCTAGCTGGGTTATCAATATATACCCTTATACCCACAGACAACATGACTCTAACAGTCAGAAAAAGCAATATTTAACACAATTTCACAACTGCTCAAGTTTTTAAGAACTTACAATGTACAAAAAAATCTCCATTATAACTAAACCAAGAAAATATTACATGCAATGGGCAGACTTAATTTATGGTACTAAGGAATTTTGGTACTGTTGTGACCAAACTGTCTTGAAAGAAGAACATGGAATTTTAAACCACAGAAGTTTGAAATTTTGAATACCAAACCCAATCAATAGAAACCAATAATAAACAAACAATATGTTTAGCAGAATCACAGCATAAATTTTCATGCCAACAGAAATGGAAACTCTCAACTTTTCACAGTTAGAAGCTGATGAAACTAGACTAACTTTTCACAGTTAGTTCCTGATGGAACTAGAAGAAACCATCGTGAGTGAGGTAATCCAGTCACAGAATATAAACATGGCATGTACTCAGTGAAAGGATCAGGCATTATGCTGGCCTGCCCTTGTTACCTGGTGGAACAGGCAGTACCCTGGTCAGCCCAGGGTTCCATGGCAAGTAAGTCTGCACGCAGGTGCAGAGGACCCCTTTTAAAGACAGATCACTGCCCATTTATGCTCTCTCTACACTCTCTACTCTTCTCCTCTTCTCTGTCTGCTTCTGCTTTTCTTCTCCCTCTCTATTGCGACCAGCCATGGTGGTCAGCCATTAACCCTGTTTTCTTCTCCTTTAGTCTCCCCA